GAACAAAGATAAATGGGTCTTTATACACAATTGAACTACAAATCTCTCATATCTAACCAAACAAATTAATTAGCTTAAATAATATTTTATGTGTTGTTAATTGATAGATTAGGGAACAAATCTCTCGTATTAAAACTCATGATCCAACCCAAAGCTAGCTCAATCCACATCTTAATAACCTGAAAATCTAAAGCAAAAGAAAAACAAAGTAGCATCAGCTACTTCTAATTACAAAACAGAAGGTGCTGCCTAATACATGTACATGGGCCGAGTTTGATTATGCTATCTTTATTATTTAGTTTTTAAAACTTGTGCATGTCATGACTCCCAGCTGCCAGAAGAATGAATAATTAGTGGTCCATGTAAATGCACGTTTCGATGGCTATATACGGAAACTATGATGTTTCGATTTGGGCCAAGCTATGAAAATAAGCTCTGCGTAGCAACCGTTAATCATTAACCCAAGGTGAACGAGAGGCAGGGTAAGGAAGCTAATTTTTTAGTCCTGCGAATTTGATCAATGCAGCCTGTGGCATTGTTTGCGTGTAGTTTAGTGCTCAACTATGGAATTCGTGTTTGCTTGTTTGGGGTCGTTTATTGACATGTATATATACTACTTTACAGGTTTGATCAAACGATTAAGCAATCATCCATCAATAGAATGTGTGGCGCGAAGAATCAAGTAACGTTCTTTCTTTCATTGGAGTCATTCTATTCGTTTCTCCATCTCTAGCTAGGCTGATTTTCTGTTGTATGTCCTGTTGAAACCGAATCGAATCAGTTGGAAGATGTGCTTCGACCTTGCTCCGCAGATTGCATTAGCGATTTGCCCGATGCGATCCTCGTTGAGAAGATTCTGCCCCGTCTGACACTAAAAGAAGCAGCCAAGTCCTCAACCCTCTCCAAGAGGTGGATCGAGTTGTGGAAAGACGTTCCTCGTTTGGACTTTGATGCTCCACAGGCTAGGTATGTTGTGAAGCACCTCTACCGCGAGCACGGACCTGAGCGGATAGCGGAGCAAAGGAAGTACATCAAGTGGGTGAATCAGTTCATTGAGCGGCACAATGCCCCCAATTTGGACACCTTCCGCATCTAGTTCAACTTGCAATACGAGTCTAGTTCACCTTCCGCGATCTCAAAAAGAGTTGCGAGGCTAGAGTTGAACTTCGATGGCTTTGGTATACTTGTCAAACCAAATTGCTGAGGTTATTTGCTCTCTCATCAGGGCCCTGTCTCAATTACTTGAGAATAGCACAAGGATCGTCAAACGTTTGGTTCCTTCGATCCTTGATTCTGAGGTACATTAATGTTGGCGGTGCCATCCTTAAGCATTTCCTCCGCAATTGTCCTCTGCTCGAAAAGTTAGTTGTCGTAGATTCGGGGGAGATGATATGCTTTTAGCTGACTGTAGAAAAGAGATGGTTTCGCGAAATGGAAATGGGAAGAGAACACTTAGGGATTTTGACTTTCAACAGTCAAAGAATAAACCAAACCTAAATAAACCGAACCAAAATAAACTCAACAGAATGAGCAAGTTCCGGTTGAGCTGTGTCAAGCAAAGCCCACTGATTTAAACTGGACTTGCCTTCAACACCGGCCCAAGGCTTAACCCAGCACAGAAGAAAGAAGATTGTTCTTCTTCTTCATTGAGCCAGACATACAAGAAATAGAGTGCCGAGAAACAGGCGAAGCTGGAAAAGATCGAAGAACAGAAGGCAGAAAGTAAAGAACACAACAGAATTTTGAACGAGGTTCGCCACAAGGCTACTCCTCGTCCCGGAATAGTAGACACTATTCTGAGAGACACTTTTGATTTTCTTGATTTGAGAAAAGAAGGCAAAAAGACTCGATTACAGACTCTAATGTGAAAATCAAAAGCTATGGTGACAAGGACCGAATTCACACAAGAATTCACTTACACCTTTGATCAACTGAACCTATTCCTCCGTATCGATCAAATCCACTGTCAATTCCCCAACCCTTTGCCCTATTCCACAAAGAATCCCAGAACCAGTAATAGAAACAGGGTTCGATCTTCCTTTAATTAGGCTTAAAGAAGTAGCCGTTGGACTGTTGACATTCGAACCATTCCAGTCCTGGAAGGTTTGTGATTTCGTCAAGCAGCTCCCCCTTGATTGCGGCTCCAATTCCCTTTGATTTCTCCAATTTAGACCAAGCAATCTCGTGACTTGTTTTGATTGAAATCTTTCAATTCAACATTGACTAGATCGTCGCCGCTGTTGAGGCTGAAGCACTTGGAGTTCACTTGGTGTTTCTTCTTGATTGACATTGAAATCCTTGCACCTAATCTGACGTACTTGAGATATCATAGTTCCGAAGGTAGTCTTCGCATCGGGAATTTCTCTTCCTGTGTTGTCGAATTGGACTTGACGACACAGAGTCCAGCTTCTCTTTTCCTTCCTCCTAACAAGTATGCCAACTTGGAGGCCCTCACTTTGTCCATCTCCAGTGTAAGTATTTAGAGTTACATAACTTCAAAAACCAATAACAACAACTTTGATTATAATATTACAACTCATAGTTATCATGCTAATGCGTCCTTCTTTTGGCGAAATAACGAATAATGTTTCTTTGTTTCCTAAATAATTAGTCAATAATGCCACAAACAGGATCATGTATGGTTTCCCAGGCCAATTGAAGAGGAGTTAACATCTCTTAAGCGCTTGACTGTGTACGTGGGACATTGGTATAAGGATAGTGCTCTCGGAGTTATCCCGCTCATAAATGCTTGTCCTCGATTGTATCAATTGTCATTAAGGGTACGTTCGATAGGGTCAAAATTAGTATATCATAATTATTGTTAGTTATTTCTTTTTTTTTCCAAGTAATGACATGAGAAAAAAAGTTAGAAACCTCTACCCAAAACCCCACCCAAAGCAACACTTAGTGAAGCCACCCTACAAAATCAAAGGACGCTACCTCTAAAGAGGACTGCAACAGAGCTTTAGGTGCCACTCTATGAGTCGCTCAGTTGGCAGTCCGCAGGACCACTCTAAAACTATACAAAGAGAGCATGAAACTAGGAGCTGATGACACTCTTGGAGCAGTGAGCTGCCTGTCGAATCTTCCACAGTTCTACGGTCCAGGTTCGGAATCACCACTTCAGGATCACCTGGCAGCAAGGTGCTTTGCTACATAGGGATCGAAAACTCCTTGGTGCTGAGATCCCATGCCAGTAGAACTTGCTCGTCTGTCCCAAGTACGACGAGGACAGACGAGCAACCGGAACGACAAACAGCAGCATCAAAGTTGATCTTCACAAAGACTGGAGGCGGCCAATGCAAAACGGAAGGATGAGAGGGCACAAGACTGAGAGAGAGGTCCTGGGGGTTGAAGGGCTAAGGAAAGTTCAATGACTTGGAAATGGAATTGACGGGCAAGAGAACGGGCGTGTGGCCGAGTATATTCAAAAACCATTTTGTTAAGAGATTTCCACATTCTCCAAAAAGGCAAACGCATGGGAGAATATGGGTGGAAGTTTACTGAAAACATAACATTGTCGCCACCATATACTAAAGTTCGAAGTTTGGGCGGAAGCAAGCAAATCACTTAATCCCACTAAAAGTCCATAGCATGATGACAAGAGGGCAATGAAAGAACAAATGTTCAATAATCTCTTGATATTCTCAGCAATCTAGATATTTGAGAAAGCAATTTACTTCAGAAAATTAGGGAATTGAAGAGCCACCATAGTTTGCAATGTCGTTTAACATAATACAAATACAATTTAAAATAATACAAACCATTCTTAGTGGAAAGCCATATCCGCTAATCACCCACTCTTCAACTTTTTCGTGATTTATTAACCCTAATTAATTTTCTAACAAAAACTATTTGTCATACCATTTGGCAAAAAACCAAAAATTGAGTTTTAGAATTCACATTCTACTGCCGGTGGGTCTCAAATTAAAATGAATTGAAGGAGATGTCATCAATTCTAATAAATTGAGCTAATGGCTCATTAAGTTAATTGTTGGCTAAAAAAGAATCGGAGTTAATTATTAATTAATGATGCTTTTAACTACAACCCGAAATAATGGGCGTCTTTTAATCCGACGATTAAATGCTCATAAAATCTCAACGGATGAAGCTTTTCCGATGAGTATAAAGTTTGGGCCACTGATACTTTGAAAGCCAGAAATTAATTCTGAAAGTCAGAAATTAATTCTCTCTATCCCATAATTTGAGATATAAACCAACCATAAAGGTCGTCAAGCGCCATAAAAAGATCGCTTTAGTGACTCATTAATCACTTGTAACAGATCATTAAAGACCCAATAACATCAAATAACATAACTGATGTATTAAAATCAAATAGGGAGAAACGGACCAATAGGGCCATTAATTGGTTCTTAACTTCTAGCATGAGGAAAATTGATTGCAGGGAACACCGGACCAACAAAGTCACCGGAGGCAAGTGTTTCCAGTTGGCGGAGGAGCTACTCAGCTGACTGGGATTCCAAGCTTGCAAACAAACAGAAATGAAGCTAAAAAAATCCGCACCAGAGTACACTCAGTTCATTCTCCTGTTAGTTCCGCTGGGATTCCAACCAAACAGTAACAAACGTTTAACGAAAGCAAATACCAAATTGAACTTTTCCTCTTCCTTCAATCAACCAAAACTAAAAGGAAATTGCAAATCGAACAGTTCACAGTTGATTTGACCTTTCATTGGAGGAAGGAAGAGAAGAATGGAAGTAGAAGGGAGCCCCGTAATGAGGGAAATCGGAAGTTCCTCCGCAATACATCCAGCCTCCCACCGAGCGACCGAATAACCACTTCTCAACTCATCACCTCAATTAAACACCAGAAGAGATTATGAAAGAGAGAAGACAGACCTGGGAATCTTGTCGACTTCAAACTCGACGCCATCTCTAGCTAATACAAACATCTCGTTCACGAATGGAACGGACAACCCATTAGGGAGAAGCTGCGGATTCAACAATTCTTCTACACTTCTTCTTCCCAAAAACGCTGCCATGAGGAAGCCCCTCAACAATCTCAAGCGCTCTTTCTCGTCCTTCCATTTATGCCGGACCAAAAGAGGCGACGCCGTTGCCCCAACCGCAGCCGCTTACCGCCACTCGCCCTACAATCCCAAAGCCCGCGACACCAATTTCCCCAAGTTCCTGTCTCCTCCGCCCACCACCCCCGACGACCGCCGCCGCCCGCTCGGCAATCAGCCGCGGCGGATGGTGGTGAGTCACTCGAGGTCGCCGCTTCTCCACGACAACCTGTCTGCGTCGGATTGCAACAGCGACTCGATCAAATCCGCAAGGAGGAGCGACACCAGGTGGTAGGCCTGAACCAATTACGCGAACAAAATCACCCTCCACAGCTGCGATTTCGGGCCGGGCGGCGACCAGGACCCGGAATCTCGGAACCCTAAATTGAAAAACGGGAGCAAAAAAAGCGGCACTATGGTGGCGCCCTGCGACCTGGGGGACGAAGAAACAGGGGAGAAGGACAGCGCCCGCGACGGCGACGAGACAGAGAACTTCCGCTACTCCTCCAGAAGCTTCTCCTTCGACGATACCTTGTGCGAGTTCAACCGTGCCAGGGAGACGACCGGGAGCGAGAACCAATCTATACGGAGAGTTTCTGTATCGACTGGGTATGATAAAATTCAAACATTGTGTCACTAGTTGTTGGCTTGAAACCCTAAATTGAAAAACGGGAGAAAAAAAAGCGGCGACGTGGGGGACGAAGAAACAGGGGAGAAGGACAGCGCCCGCGACGGCGACGAGACAGAGAACTTCCGCTACTCCTCCAGAAGCTTCTCCTTCGACGATACCTCGTGCGAGTTCAACCGTGCCGGGGAGACGACCGGGAGTGAGAACCAATCTATACGGAGAGTTTCTGTATCGACTGGGTATGATAAAATTGTCACTATTTGTTGGCTTAAAAAGTTTGCCGAGGGGAAAGCATGGTTGGGAACTGAAGTTCTGTAACCTCAATCAACCGGTTGGCATCTCAATATTTGCATGTCCTTCAAGTTTCTGAGACCGCAGATATTGCCTAACTTCTTCGTCGATCTGCAGTAATCACGTCGATAGCTCTGCCATTGATGCTTGACTCGACTCTACTATCACCCTAGGAATTGGCCAAGTGAAACCACTTCCTAAAGCGTAGTATAGCGGGTTAGGTTTATATGTCAACCCGGGTCCTAGATTTGATGACTACTCAGTGAATTCGTGTTATCTAGCAATGAAACTGGAATGCATGTCTAAACTATCAAACTAACAAAGCAAGTAAACGGTTGTGTTCAGGTTAAAGAGGTCACCCGGATATGGTTCCCCCTAGACTGCAGTTAAGCCGGATTGTAATTACCAAGTTCAGTTTCTATGAAAGTTATACTGCGGAAGGTTCTTAAATAGCCTGAAGTCTCGACTAAAGGTCTTCAGACCCTCTCAATCTGAATCTCTAGCGGGCGACTAACCTCCACCGGAGTAGACAGATTGAGGCCCTAAGAACAAAACCTCCACTACCGGAGTAAATCCGGTACAGAATAGTGAGTTGGTTCCTCGACTAAAGTCACCAGCTCCCTACCTTCAATCAAGGATACTCTATTAACCTAGGCAGATATTCTCATTCTAGGTCAAAGCAGAAACAACAGGAATTTGATCAGGATTCAAGTCATTCAATCATTCAAACCTCAATCGAATATAATCAATCATAGAATCAGTACTTGGGTTCATACAATCAAAGCCTAACATACAAATCTAGGGTTCTCCATACCCAGATGAATGGGAGAACTACTCCATGGAGAAGAAAGCAAAAGCAGAATCAGACGCGGAATTCATACTGTGAAGGATGGATTCTCGCTCCTGGACGTTGATTGGCACTCCTCCAAGCTCAAGCTGGCCTCCAATGGTGTTGAAGATCAATCTAGGGCACCTGGAGACACTTGTTCGTCGCTTTCTCTCTCTAGGAATCGTTTTCTCTCTCAAAAACTCGAATCCCCTTCTCTTTGGCTGAAAATCTGCTTAAAAAGGCATCAGTGGCCAAAGCACGGTCGAGGACACGGCCGTGTAATGCCTTAGGTGTGCCCGTGTTTTGGCCCCAGCTTGACGAAATGACCTCCGAATGCCCCGAAACTCGTGGTTAGACTTCCCTTTGACGCCTGGGACCTGAAATATGACAAAATAGCACAACCCGGCGTAAAATAGGCCAAAACACACGACTATGCCCCTCAAACGGATAAGAACTAGGGGCGCAAGCATGTGCAATTACATCGTTATCAAATTCCCCCACACTTAACCGTTTGCTTGTCCTCAAGCAAACCAAGTCAGACACAAGGTAAGCTCAAAATAACAAGGCATGACATATCGGCACAAAACACGTGGATCATACTGGCTTTCGATCAGTAACACATGGACAACTTCAATGACAACCTAGACAACCACCACAGATGACATTCGAATGCAGCAAAATCGAGCGAAGGAAGAGTCTACCTTCTGTTCACCAACCAACATTGACTTGACTCAACCACTTGTTCAAAACAGTCACATCATGCACAAAGTTCAAGATATCAGAATTAAGACCGAGCAATCTAGGTCCTCACCAGGATAAAGAGTATAGAGAATAAGAGAAAATGAATCGCTCACTCTCGACCAGTGGGGTCAGGACAATATGATGCGAAAAATGCGCATGCTTAATCTCTCAATCCCTAACATCTCTTCACCATGAATGCAGCCTCTAAGTGCTAGAGTTCACATATGGGGTGTCATCACTGACTAATCCGGAGGTCTTAGACACAGGTTCAGATGACTGGCTAGGGTCTTGGACATGGGGAAAAGGCCTTTTAGGTGGTGGAAGTATTCATACAGCACAAGGTTCCACATTTCCAAACCCAACAGATTCACAATCAATCGAACCAATAACTTTCTTTCTGCTATTCTGCATTACTCAAGTTCAAAGCACAAGAGCGAAGGAGGTTACATAAATGCTAGTATTTCTAAGCCAGACTGCTAAGAAACACTACTACATGGGCATTATTCAGATTTTTGGTGGTGGCTCTCTTTTGCTTTCATTTTTTTCTTTGATTTTTATTTTATTTTTTTCTTCTTTTTAAACCACCACCTCTGCACAATTTCAAACACCTGCCCAACTTTTAAGTATTTCCTCCAACCCTCACATTACATTTAGCAGAAACAGCAGAGAACAAGTAAAAATCACTCCGTGGAACCATCTAAAAGATGCAAAAGGGTGACTTTTCATTGAAGACCGAAAGAAAGGAAAACACACGGCTCAAAGGGGCTGACTAGGGGTATGACACACTAGGACAGTCAATTTGGTCGTGGGCTAATCCTATGCCTCCATCATCTTAGCTAATGACAGCGTGAATGCTGCACATCATGGAAGAGGAAACTATCGCACAAGAAAGAAACGAGCAGGCTCAAATCTCACATGGCTACCTATATGCTCTATCTCTCATTCTGATTCCCTGTACTAGATGCATAAATGACTGTCAAAAGCAAGTGATCAAACCAAGTCACATTTGGTGAGCAGACAGTTGAAAAAACTGAACCCCTACACAATTCTACTGCACATCTCAGTCATCACAATCAGTTGTCTAAGCCACACTCAAGTTGTCATGTATCAAGTCAAAAGCCATTCAATTCACTAATCACATCCACAGTGCCAATACGATCAATCATCAAGCAAACAGCCGTGCTTGGAGCCCTCAAATCTCAAGATTTGGACAGTGGACTAGGCCCCAAGCACACATATATATACGTTCCAATTCATACAAAGAAACCCCCCCCCCACACTTAAACGCGACAATGTCCTCAATGGAGCAGAGGGAAGGGGAACGATGTTACCGTGAAACAGTGGTCAGGAACGCTGCCTGGATGGCGGACCAGTCAAAAGAAGGGGCACAGAGCTAGAGACAACAAAAACACACACTGGTTGATAGGAGTCAGAGTACCAAGTCTACAATCCGAGATAAAACAAAACAAAACGAAACCACAAAACACGGAGTCTTAGTCTGGAAAACAGATAAGGCACAAAACCCGCTCTAGAAGGCATCACCACCATCGCCGGTGGGTGGAGGGTACTCATCCTCAAACCCCGGGGACTGCACGAATGGGTAGTGGACCGCGCTCGGGTCCAAGCCCAAGTAGGACATGATGTAGTGCTGCCCGGACAGGATACGACGCCCTCGGTCCCGCTCACGATCAAGGCGGGTGTGGAGGAGCTCCTGGCCGGCTAGGAGGCGCTCATTCTGCTGCGAGATCGCCGCCAACTGGTCGGAGATGGGCACCACCACTGGAGGAGGTGACCCTGGAGAAGGAGACCGGGGAGCAGGAGAGGGGCTCGCGGGAGCCTGGCCACGACGGGGAACGCGACGTCGACCTCGGCGCCCACCAGCGGCGCTCGACTCGGCCTGGTCACCCTCTGCAGGAGGAGGTGGCTGAGGAAGGCCCTCGATCCAGCGCTGACGCCCGTGGCGAGCAAGCAAGTGCTGGTGGCGGAGAGTAGCCTCGCTGAGTGGGGACGGCCCGCGCACCATAGTCATCCCCGTGTAATCCACCCCATAGTTGCGGGCCAGGGCGGTGATCACTGGGCCACAAACGAGGGCGCGAGTCGTGCTGATGGCTGGTTTAGTGAATGTCCTCGCCAGTACAGAGCCCAGCTGGATGGTGTCCTCAGAACGACCCATCGCATGCATCAACCAGAGTGTGCGGAGCGTGACCCGGTTGGCCGAGCCTGCGCTGGGTGTGTAGGAAGTGCACATCAGGTGGTTGAGGATCCGCCACTCCGGACGGAGGAGAGAAGCCCGCGTCTGGCTGGCCACATACTGTTCATCCACACTGTCGGGCAGGCAGATGCTCTGAAAGTACGCCTGAGAAGCGAAGTCCGTGGGATCAGCGAGATCTAGGCGGAGAGGCGGCCCACGAGCTTCCCGGGAGTTGAGGCGAAGTGCATTGGCAAACTCCCAGTAGCTGAGGGAGTGCTCCACCCCGCCGAGTGTGAACTGGACTGCATTAGAGTGATCGGAGTTCCCCTTCTGATTGTGGGTGAAGGTGGCGTAGAACTCCAAGACCAGCTCCTTGTAGGTCGGCTCAGCAAGGGTGAGAAGACGCCGCCAAGCAGGGGAGCGGACCGTGGCCTCCATCTGTGGCCTGGCATGAAGCTCCTCGAACACTTCCCAATCGAGGTGATGGTGCTCGGCGATGCTGCGGGTGCGGAGGTTCCGCAGCTTATGATGCTGGATGATGTTCAGCTGTTCGAGAAAATCCTCCATGATCCTGCAAACCACAATGAAGGACAAATGGTACACAAGCAAACGGGG